TGCAGTAAATAGGTGACAAGGGGAATTTTTGGGATTAAAAACCACGACCTACCCTTGTAGGATTTCAACTTCACTACTGAGCAACTTTTAGATTACAACATATACAATCTAGGAATTAACCTCTTAATCCCCCACTAACTTGTAATACTCCATTACAAGCCACTTTGTAATAACTCTATTACAAAGACTTTACAACTCGATTAACTCTAGCCAAAACTCAAACACAAAGGTTTAAGATTTACAAAAGGGTTTCCTACAGAATACTTCTCAAGTAAGATAAGTAGGAATAACACTTGAAGAACTATTACAAAGTTACAACTCAACTAAGAACAAATATTAACTTGATACGGGAACAGGTCTGTAGTTGTTTTGTTCTTTGTTCATGAAGCACTTGAGAATTGTTTGTTGAATGATCAGTCACATGAGAGAGCTTGAGTAAATTCTCTGAGTGTTCAAGTGAATGTGTTTTACCTCCCTTGATGTTAATAATACATGTGTGACATCACTTACAATGATGTAAGCAAGGTAGGTAAAAAGCCTTCCACAGAAAGTTGACTGTTGCATTGTTCCCGTACTGTAGCGTCTGCAGGCAGCAACTTTTTCAACTGGAGAGCTGACTTCGTACAGTCACCTTGGGAATTGGTAGGGACCTATTCCCTCAGTTGTTCCTTCAACTCTGGAGATTTGAAACATATCCCAAACTGGAACCTTTAGATCTTAAGATCTTGAGGATGTGTAACAGGTTCTTTATCTGGTTCTTGATAGTAAGTTTGTTAGATCATCAAAACATAAAGCAAGATACTCGTAACCTACCAGTTTAGTTAGGATTCCATCAATGAGTTGAATTTAGTTCTTCGCTAAAAAAGAAATGAGCATTCCCTCCTTCCACTCCCCATATCCCATCCCAGAAAAAGGAGTGGAGACTAGCATAACCCCTAGGGTGTCAGAGGGATGTAGGTAAAGCGGATGAGAAGGATCTATAGCAGTAGTCGAGGAGGAATATAATGAACCAGTCATAGTTACTTCACACAATCACACACTAATACTACGAGTGGAAATGTGAATGTAAATCCATCAACAACAATTAACAAGGATGCAATACTACACTGATATAGTACTAAAAATAGGAAAATTTGTGAGAAAGAGAAGTAACACCTTGATGCGAAGACGAGATATGAAGCAAAACCCTAGCTCCAATTCCGATGAACCAGTGATGAATTCAAAAATTTTCCACCATAAAATCACGATTTTGAGTGCACGAAATCATAAACAAGCTCAAAATTCAGCTTTGAATGTAGAATGAATAGAAACGCCAATCACCGGAGATGAAAAGACCGCCGAAAGATAAAATGAAATGACTATCGAAAAAAATCACTCTGATTGTGCAGAGGACGATGCAAATATCTAGGATTTGCTATGATACCATGTCAAATTGAATGATCCTCAAGCAAAATGAATGATTTCTAGAATGGAAATCGTGATCCGAAAGAGAGAAGAGAGAGCATGAGAGAGAAAATTCTAGAAAGAGATATTTTATTATCTGATCCTTTTCTGAAATTGTGACGACCCGGCTAGTCGTCTCATGAGTTACCGCTCTGTTTTCCCCATTTCTGCTTTGTTATGCTTCGTTATCCATATTTTATGGTATCGGGTTGGTCGGATCGAATTCGGAATAATTTTGGTAAGGTTTGAGACACTTAGTCTCTTTTAAGGGAGTTTGAGTTGGAAAAGTCAACTGGATGTTGACTTATGTGTTAGAGGGCTCGTATGTGAGTTCCAATGGTTTGGTTAGCTTCGTTAGGTGATTTATGGCTTAGGAGTGTGATCGGAATGGGTTTTGGAGGGTTGGAGTAGTTTTAGGCTTGAATTGGCGAAGTTGATATTTTGGCAATTTCCGATTGGTTGGCGAGATTTTGATATAGGGGTCGGAATGGGATTCCTAGAGTTGCAATAGCTCCGTTGTGTCATTTGGAATGTGTGTGTAAAATTTCAGGTCATTCGGACGTGGTTTGGTTGGTTTTTGATCGAAAGCATATTTCGGAAGAATTTTAGAAACTTAGGCTTGAATCTGATGTGATTTGGTAGATTTGATGTTGTTTGAGACGTTTTGATGATTGGAACAAGTTTGAATAAGGTATTGGGTTATGTTTGTGCTTTTGGTTGAGGTCCCGGGGGCCTCGGGATGATTTCGGGTGGTCATCGGAGAAGTTGAGATGTCATTGCAGTTGCTGAGATTTTTCTGCTTCTGGTATTTTCACACCTGCAGTTTGGGGGCCGCACGTGCGAAAGGGGAGCCACAGAAGCGTATTTGAGAGGAAAAGCCAGGAGCCGCAGATGTGGTAGTTGAACCGCACCTGCGTAGTCGCAGGTGCGAAGATTGGATCGCAGATGCGGAAGGGCCCATTAAGTGATTTCTGCAGAAGCAGAAGAGAGACCGCTTATGCGGTACCGCAGAAGCGGCAATGGTGCCGCAGAAGCGGCAATGGTGCCGTAGATGTGGAACAACTGGGCAGAAAGTATAAAAAGGGATCTTCGCGAATTTTGGGATATTTCACCATTCTTGACTTCGGTTTGGGAGCTTTTTGGGCGATTTGAGAGAGGGAATTCAAGGAGACTTCATTGAGGTAAGGATTTTGGACCAAAAACCCGTTCCTATGCTATTATTTCATGGATTAGAGCTAGAAATCATGGAAATTAAAGGTGAAAATTGGGGAAACTAGGGCTTGAGAACTTAGGCCTTTAATTGTGGATTGAAGGACCATTTAGGGTTGGATTTGAGAACTTTTGATATGTATGAACTCGTGGGGAGATAAGGAATCTATTGATGTGAAAATTTCTGATTTTCAAGACGTGGGCCCGGGGGTCAGTTTTTGGTAATTTCGAGATTTGTGCCATTTGTTGATTGTTTTCGCTTGGGCTTTGTTTCCTTAGCATATGTTGACGTACTCGTTCTGATTTTGGATGGATTCGACATGCATAGAGGCCGATTCGAGGGGCAAAGGCATCGCGAGCTAGAGATTTAGCCGGTTCGAGGTGAGTAATGATTATAAATGATGCTCTGAAGGTTTGAAACCCCGGATTTGCACATCGTAGTGCTATATTGAGGTGAGGCACACGCTTGATGACGAGCGTGGGGTCATGCACTATTGGGGATTGTGACTTGGTCCGTCCCGATTGATGATTTTACCACGTATTTGATTGGAAACTATTTGTTACCATCATTACTTGGGCTAAATGCCATATTTGGGCCTAGTGTCAACTATTTGAACCCTTCGGAGATTTTTTTTATTGATATTTCCTCACTGTTACTGTATACTTGAACTCAGTCATGTTATTTTCCAGTGTTTTACCACTCAGCCATGTCTACTCAGTTTTAATACTTAAATGATATTTTAAATGATGTTTGGGCTGAGAAACAATGTTTTACTATTGCCCGAAAGGCTTGTGATGATTTTTGACTGAGTAAGGCAGAGGGCCTACGTTGTGAGGAAACACTGATACTGATATGAGGACTAGGGCCTGGGATATGTATGCCACGAGGTGGCTTGATTGACATGAGGTCGAGAGCCTAGTTTGATGCCACGAGATGGCTTGTTATTGCGCTTGGGCTGTAAGGGGCCCCTCCAGGAGTCTGCACACCCCCAGTGAGTGCGGGTACCCATTGTGATGTGAGATTGAGCCTGAGGGGCTGGTATTGTTCTGAGATATTGCCCGAGGGGCGGATTTGTTGATATTGTGCCAGATGGGCAAACTTATATTTGTTTACTTTACTTTAATTACCTGTCAATTACTTGTTTACTTGTTGAAAGAGGATTTTACTTGACTTTTCTCTGTCTTACTGCTTTTAAATGGTTTTACTGCTTCATTATAGAATGCCTTGTGCCTTACGTGTTTTCTTACTTTCACTTGTTATTTACATTTGTTACTCACTGAGTTGGAGTACTCACTTTACTCCTTGCACCTCATTAAAGTTTGATTGCTTGATCCCCCTAATATTGCTTAAAAAAAAAAACCAAAGTTACAAGACCTAACCTAACTAAGCTAGAGAATCATAATGCAAGTACATGAAATAAAACTACTCTATATTTACAATGAAAAAGGACTTAGTTTTCTACAAGGTAGAAACATGTCCGTTGTCAGCAAACTTGTCTTTGGCATCATAGTTTGTGCTTGTGGCGTTGTCTGCGCACTGTGCTATTGGCATCTACTTACGGCTGGACGCTGGCGAGGGTTACCGGTGGGGCGACAGAGGCACATGCGCGCCTGTCACTTGGCGCAGCCAAGACCACAGGGTCGTCCATGGTGTTAGGCGTTAGGAGGCTTACTAGAACATCTTGGGGCGCGTCCAAGAGGTCATATGGCATGACTGGAAAGTCGCCCATGACAACAATAAATTTTGTAAGATATTCCCAAAGAAGTCCTCAAAAATCATAATAAGGCATATGAGGACTTCTATGGGCATGATTTTTTCTTAATGAAATAGCTAAATGGGATCAGTTTTCCTAATTATATAAAAAATTTAATTTTTATTCTATAACCTACGTAAAAATAAGCATGATAACTAATGAAATTTTAGCGATAGAATAAATCCTAAGTTGAAAATAGTGATTAAGATGATTGATGACTTCTATATTGCCATTGTTTTTTTATTTATTGGGTTGCTACATAGAATCAATAATCATCATTTTTTGAAATTCATATTTTTTTTTCTTAAACTTATTTTATAACTCTAATATAATTAGTTAATATAGTATTTTATACAATTTTTTAAAAATATGTATTTATTGAAATGGAATATCGTAAGGCTATTAATTTATAAATATATAATGTTTAATATTTTATTTTTCTGAAACGGAGAGTTTTATTTGCAGCCATTTTATGTTTTTTTTTTAATTCCGTCTGACGTGTAAACGAGCCATTGGTTAGTGGCCTCTGTTTTGTTCAACTGTAAGATAGTCTACGGTTAAAAACCCGGATCCCCCATTTCACCCTCTTCAGTAAACTCGTACGCCGAGGGAGATCGAGAGATCCGTAATTCGACTTCGCTGCTATCCCCATATAAATATATTCAGATTCATTCTGTTTTTCACACAACGATCTCACTTTTTTTCCGGTTACATTCTGATCGACTACGTTTCACTTTTTTTTACCTGAATCCTTACAGATCTCTGCTGTAGTTTCAGAATGGCTCAGCCTCTGGTGAAGAAGGACGATGATCGCGATGACGAAAGTACGTTTTTTTTTAATTCCCGTTTCCGCTGTGTTTACTTTGATTAGAGAACAAGCTTAATTTTCTCGGTTGTTTTGAATTTAATTGATTCGATTGTGCTTTTGCCTGTGTATAGATCTGCATTTTGGTTTATATTCTAAATTAGCGTTTATTTGGCTAAGTGAATCTGAAAAGAATTACGGTCGATTTCTTATGAATCAGCTTTTGCTACTAGCTGTTTTTTTCCTAACTTTCTTTTCATAACTACTTCTCAGTTGTGCAATGTGTATTTCAGTCATATATCGCTATTAGGAATATTTAGTGTAGTGTGTGTAACTGCGTAGTGGAATGATGTCGGGAAAGTTAATTTGCTCAGATTATTATTGTTTAGTTTTACACTGTGGGAATGATCAGTTTCTGCCTAGATCTAGGTACATTAGGATTGAATGTGTATTTAGTGGTGAAATGGCATTTTCATGGTGGATTTCTGTGACAAAACAGTGGACTACTCCCCATTTCTGGGGATTGAGAAGGGGGCTGTTCTTCAGGAAGCTAGGGTTTTCAATGATCCTCAATTGGATGCACGGAGATGCTCACAAGTATGTTGTTTTGGTCATTTTTTTTAATTCTGACGTGCAAAAGTAAATTAACTTCATTTCTGTTATGTGGCATTTTAAATTGGTTGGACTTGAGTTTTATTTTTGGGTGCTTTTTGGGTGTTTCAGGTCATTACGAAGCTTCTGTATCTTCTGAATCAGGGAGAGTCGTTTACAAAGGTTAGCTCTGAAGCTATTAATTTTAGCAGTAAATCATTGTTCCATTTTTTGGCAAATTGTACAATGAAACATCACATATTAAATGCCCAAACCGCCATTTAAATAGTGAAAGAAAACAAGGAAGAAATAGAGAGATGTGTGACGTCAGCTATCAGAGTATAACATTATATTTAATGAGAAAAATTAAAATTCAAAGATAAGGATAATATATGATAAGTGACTCCGTGACAAGCAAAGTTTACTGTTTTTGCACTATGAAGGGCATTATCTTTCATGAATTCTACTCAACTTTGTACTTCAGGGAACAATTTTTGTTTTCTCTGGATTTATGTGGCCATACATAGAATTGGTATTAACTGATTATGTCTCTTGTCTGTAGATCATATCATCTGTTATTTACCTTATCAAAAATAAAATGGATAATATCACTTGCTAATGCCTTTCGACTTGAGAGTGAAAAAATAGTTCTCAACAATGCAATACATATAGACCTACCTGTGTTAGTATGATAGTTTTTTTCCAATTAAATGATTGTTTCTGTACTTTTCCTTAGACATCTAGTCTGTTATTGTCTTGAACTATTTTCACAGTGTGCAATGAGTTTCTCTAGACACTGTCCAGCAGTTAATTTTTTTTGGAATTCATACATTTGGCTAGTCAAACGGAGAATTTTTATACATAATAAAGTTAATTAGCCAAATTGAATTGAAAACCTACTCAAAAAAACTGACCAATATGTGCAACAGATCAAAGAAAGGTTCCCTCCCTTGTAGTCTTTCCCTTTCTTTACTTTGTTTTAGTGCCCATATTTTAGAACCATATCATTTCTTTGTTGTGCAATGTTTCTTTTTCATTATTACTGGAGCCATTTGCTAGTTGTGTAAATTCCTGTTTTAACGCATGTGGATATTTCTGTCACGTCCATGCTATGGCTCTTGAATAGTTCTCTTTATCCCCTCTTAAATTTACAAACTGAAGCAAGCTAAACATTCTTGTCTTTTCTACAGTACAGATATCTTTTTACGTCACTTTGATGACTCTCTCTCTCTCTCTCTGTCTCTCTTCCGGTGAGACTTCCACTTAAGTTGTTTTAATTTGTAGGCTGAGGCTACAGGAGTCTTCTTTGCTGTCACAAAACTCTTTCAGTCAAAGGATATTGGTCTCAGGAGAATGGTGTACCTGATAATTAAAGAGCTTTCTCCCTCCGCAGACGAGGTTAGAGGCAAAGCGTTTTCTTCTTTTGTTTTTGTAAGGTTCCACTGATTCTCTGAATGAAAATAACATTTGATTTCTTTTCCTCTAAAAGGTCATCATTGTTACGAGCTCTCTTATGAAGGACATGAATAGCAGAACTGATATGTATCGGGCAAATGCTATTCGTGTCCTTTGTCGAATCACGGATGGGACACTTCTCACCCAAATAGAGAGATACTTGAAACAAGCCATTGTTGACAAAAACCCTGTTGTTGCAAGTGCTGCTCTTGTGAGTGGAATCCATTTGCTTCAGGTAAGGTTTCAATAACCCTTTTTCATGTTTTGCTTGTTTGGTGGTATCTTCCTAACTCTCCTTGGCCTATGTTTCTTTTCAACAGACAAATCCAGAAATTGTGAAAAGATGGAGCAATGAGGTACAGGAAGCTGTTCAATCAAGGGCAGCTCTTGTTCAGTTCCATGCACTGGCCCTGCTGCACCAGGTATGTGTGATATCTGCTATTTAACTAACCAATTTTGCTTTGAATTATTATCTATATCATAAATTTTTCTTTGTTTACACAATCATAACGAGTAAGTCTCATAATTAAAGAATTGAAATAGTACTAGTTCTCATATATACTGATTTGATTTTATGTTCTTAAATCTTAAAATATTTGGCGGGTGCCCTTTCTTTCAATGCTCGGGTGTAGTGGTGGCAAAATGGATAAAAGAAAACAGTTATCCACCCATAATATCCATTAAAATATGGGTTGGATAATGAACTATTTAAAAACGGGTCAAATATGGATAAGAACCATATTATCCACTTGAAAAATGGATAACCAATGGATAACTAATAGGTTTAACTTTTATATTTGTAAAGCCTCAAATTGAGGGTTCCTCAAGTTTGGGAGATTAGGAATTCTCCCAAAAGTGATCATATTCAAAAAGTCATGGATAATATGGTTATCCATATTATCCGCCGGTTAACATGGGTCGGGTCAGATAATTTATCCGTTTTTGTATTACACGTCTTCGACCCGTCCCATAACTGACCCGCCCCGCCCGTTTGCCACCCCTACTCAGGTGTTAACATGTTTTGATCTCCGGTTTCCTACCACCTTCTAAAGTCGTTTTTTCATATTCTACTGTTCATTAAAATCTCGGCTGTATTGTTTCTTCCTTTTAGTTTTTTGGTTCTTTCAATGTTGTGAAGGTAAAAGTGATAGATCACATGACAGGTTATGTTTCCCTAGGTCTTAACATCAAGATTTGTTCAGCTGATATGATTTTCTTCCTGCATTTGCAGATTCGACAAAATGACCGTTTAGCTGTTAGCAAGCTAGTTACCAGTTTGACAAAAGGGAGTGTCCGCTCACCTCTAGCTCAATGCCTTTTGATCCGTTATACTAGTCAGGTGCCCTTTTTTTCCCTTTTTCTTCCAGTTTTGGCATTAATTTAGTTATGTGATCGGGCTTTTGCCAACCGGAAAGATACCCTAATTCTGGATTATTTATTGCCAATTTGAATTCACATCTCTTCAGGTTATAAGAGAATCTGGCATTAGCCAAACAGGAGATCGTCCATTCTATGACTATTTAGAGAGTTGCCTTCGTCACAAAGCTGAAATGGTTATTTTTGAAGCAGCCAGGGCAATCACAGAGCTTAGTGGCGTGACTAGTCGAGAATTAACTCCTGCTATTACTGTTCTACAGCTCTTTTTGAGCTCTTCTAAGCCAGTTCTTAGGTTTGCTGCTGTCCGCACTTTGAATAAGGTGATTCATCTTAGTATAATTTCATTGGTCTACTAGTTTTATTACGAATGATTAATTTGGTAATTGTGGTTCATGAATAATTATTGAGTTGCTTAGTCGAATGGCACACATTACAATTTTTCCACACCAGGATAACCCTATCTTTGTTATTGTAAACAAACATTGGAATCTAATTCTCTCTGATATTGATTTTTATGCGACTAACAAGTAGGACTGCCTGGTTACAGTATTGACCTTCTTAACATTTGTAACTGAAAAGCTTAATTTGTTCAGGAAAAAAGAGAAAAGCTTAATCTGTTATAGTACCAACTGCTTTTGGTTTCTGCTGATGCAGCACAAGTATTAATTGTTGAACCATGTGCAGGTGGCAATGACACATCCTATGGCTGTGACAAATTGCAACATTGATATGGAGAGCTTGATTTCTGATCAAAATAGGAGCATTGCAACTTTGGCCATCACAACTCTACTCAAGACCGGGAATGAATCAAGCGTTGATCGTCTAATGAAGCAGATTACTAACTTCATGTCGGACATTGCTGATGAGTTTAAGATAGTGGTGGTGGAAGCGATTAGATCATTGTGTTTGAAATTCCCCCTTAAGTATAGATCTTTGTGAGTAATCATGGACTTCTCTTAGAAACCTGGATATCAATATACATATGTATGCAAAACAAAAATAGGGGGGTGTGGTTGGGGATACAACTTTTTTTCTTTCTTTTTTACAATCACTTAATATGGATATTTATGTTTTTTAAATAATAACAGGATGAATTTCTTGAGCAATATTTTGAGGGAAGAAGGTGGCTTTGAGTACAAGAAGGCTATTGTTGATTCAATTGTGATCCTGATTAGAGATATCCCAGATGCCAAAGAAGGTGGGCTGCTTCACTTGTGTGAATTCATTGAGGACTGTGAATTCACGTATCTTTCTACGCAGGTTAGTTTCCTCTCCTCTTTTCTTGCTAATATCATGGTTTTCTTGTCTATCTACATTATTTCATTGTAATTTTGGTTTTCATTTGGTTTATGAGATGCTGTTTTATTTATTTCTCACCTCAATTTGTCCATAGATACTACATTTTCTTGGAAATGAAGGACCTAAGACCTCTGACCCCAGTAAGTACATACGATACATATATAATCGGGTGATACTTGAAAATGCAACAGTTCGGGCCAGTGCAGTGAGCACCTTAGCGAAGTTTGGTGCCTTGGTTGATTCATTAAAGGTAGAATTGTTCTGGTTTTAGTTTGTATCATGACTGAATGTTATATTTTGATTTTAAAACTGTTTCTTTAATATGCTGCAGCCTCGTATATTTGTGCTGTTGAAACGTTGTCTGTTTGACAGTGATGATGAGGTTAGTCCTGAGATTTCATGTCTTCTAGTTATTGCTATGCTTTATTACTGTGTTAATGATTACTTTATCCTTTTCCATTCTTGTTAGTCAGGTCAACCATTCGTTTGTGAAATTTAGGCCTCTGTATATATGAGAAATCACGTGCTTTCCAAAAGTATAACTGTTTCCAATTTAAAAAAAAGGAAGTAAAAGAAAGAACCAAAGATTCCATATTTCATTTTGTTCATTCATGGTGTTGGGATTGCAGAACTCGTTTGGCATTTACTCATAAGAATTTCTTTTCGCGATAGAAATGGTTGAGCCTTCAGCCAGCCTTCTGAAACCCCCGAACCCCATCTTTTTGTTTTTTCTATGTAAACTAAAAAGAAACAATTCCTAGTTTTTACTGTGTAACTAAGCTGTCTATTCCTTTGTGGCAAGCAACTTGCACTTTAATTGCATGGACTAGTTTTTTGCAACCTACATATGTGAGATAACAACAACAATAACAACCCAGTAAAATCCTACTAATGGGGTCTGGGGAGGGTAGTGTGTACGTAGACCTTACCCCTACTCCGAAGAAGTAGAGAGGCTGTTTCCGAAAGTTCCTCGGCTCAAGAAAACAAAAGGACAAAGGAGACAATATTAGTATCACCACAACAATTATAGTAAAAATAAGAACACCATGAAATCCAGAAGAAAGATGCGAAGCAAAAGAGATAGCTAGTAAATAGGCCCTGCACTGAAAAGCGAAATAGTAAGACACAACATTGCCACTAGCTATCTTAGACAAAAACCCTACCTGGCTAGTCCCACAATGGTACAAAGTAAGGCAAGACTCAACTACCTCCTAACCTACATATGTGAGAAATCATCTGAAATGATCTGCATCTCCTTGCTCATCAGAAACACCGTTTTTTCACGAATGAGGTTTTAAAACTTCCATCAGCTTCTTCATTTCCTGTCTTTATAACTCGGGTAAATGAATCAAATAGTTCTCTATAGTCTTCAATGATTGCGACATGTGTTTTTGTGTTATAATCTCTTTCGGTTATCTTACAATTGTTGCAATCTTTTGGCAGGTTCGTGACCGTGCAACACTTTACTTGAATACCCTTGGAGGTGATGGTGCAGTTGTTGAAACTGATGAAGAGGTGAAAGAGTTCCTTTTTGGTTCACTCGGTGTCCCTCTAACCAATCTGGAAACAAGTTTGAAGAACTATGTATGTAGCTTCTCTATCTTGCAATCTCTAGTTCTTTTTGCATTTGTTATCTGATGTTTCTTTTTGCATTTGATAACTGATGTTTTTGCTTTAATGGTGGCAGGAACCCTCGGAGGAGCCATTTGACATTCATTCTGTACCTAAGGAAGTCAAATCTCAACCCTTGTCAGAGAAGAAAGCACCCGGTAAAAAGCCAACCGGTTTGGCTGCTCCTCCTGTGGCTTCCACTTCCACTGTTGATGCGTATGAAAGGTTACTGTCCTCTATTCCAGAATTTGCCAGTTATGGAAAGCTTTTCAAGGTTCGTATTTTGAGATTCATCATCATTTATTTTCTATGGTGATTTCTTTTGCACTTATTTAAGCTAGTCATTTTTTCCATGTATGATCAGTCATCTGCACCAGTGGAGCTTACAGAAGCTGAAACAGAATATGCAGTTAACGTTGTCAAGCACATTTTTGACAATCATATCGTGTTCCAGTACAACTGCACCAACACTATTCCTGAGCAATTGCTGGAGAATGTATTAAACTTTTATTTGGAGGCATTTCTTGCATTCTAATTTCACCTGATCATCATTGTGAAGTGTTGTTTGCCTGCTGCCAGGTCACTGTTATAGTAGATGCTTCTGAAGCAGAGGAATTTTCTGAAGTAGCATCCAAACCTCTCAAGTCCCTGCCATATGATACCCCAGGGCAAACATTTGTGGCTTTCGAGAAACCAGAAGGAGTCCCTGCTGTTGGGAAATTCTCAAACACGTTGAGGTTCATTGTTAAAGAGGTATATTTCTCCTGAATTATTTTGGAAACAAATCTGGATGGAATCTCTATGTCTATGACTTTGAGGTATACCGCCATGTTACTTGTGTGAAGCATCTTGACTAAGCCATCTCATTTCCGTGATAATAGCTGCATCCCAAAAAGTTGTGTAATTATCCTCCAAAAGCTGAACTTTAAGAACTAATTTTTAACCTCTAATTTTGGACCCTGTTCTTCTAAACTATATAATTCAGCTGCAGTGTTAATTCCAGACCCAACCAAACTAAACAACAGGCAGAGGGAATGACTTGTTAACAAATCTTTTGCAGCCTTACCTCCCAAAGGGAAAAAAAACTGATTCTTTTCTTTCCATCTGTAAACGGTTCTGATTCTGAAATGTAGTGCCTTTTAACTTGCCTCATATGTTTGTACAATCCATCTTTCTGTCAATGCACTGTGATGATTCTCTGGTGATTCACCAGGTTGATCCATCTACTGGTGAGGCTGAAGACGATGGTGTCGAAGACGAATACCAGCTAGAAGACCTTGAGGTTGTTTCAGCAGATTATGTGCTAAAAGTAGGAGTATCCAACTTTAGGAATGCCTGGGAGAGTTTGGGACCAGATTGTGAAAAGGTAGATGAATATGGTCTTGGACCAAGGGAAAGCCTGGCTGAAGCTGTAAATACAGTCATCGACCTACTTGGCATGCAACCTTGCGAGGTTTGTCTTATGGTTTTACTCAACTCAGTCTCAACATTTCTGTTAGAACTCTATAAAATAGGGCATACTTTATAGCTTACCTCATTCATATTTGGTCAAACATTTTCCTAACTACTATGCGTATTTCTGTCTGTGGAAGCTAACTGTTCTATGATTTTTTTCCAGGGCACTGAGGTGGTCCCAAGCAATTCAAGATCGCACACATGTTTATTATCTGGTGTTTACATTGGTGGTGTAAAGGTTCTTGTTCGGTTGTCATTTGGAGTCGATGGGCCAAAGGAGGTTGCAATGAAACTGGCTGTTAGGTCAGAAGATATATCTGTCAGTGATGCAATTCATGAAATTGTTGCAAGTGGCTAAACTTTGTTAGATGGGCTGAAGACTAGTAGTCCTCGTCATGGCAAAACGGAAAGCTATTTTTTCTTTTTCTTTTGTGTACTTAGTAAACTTGGTCTGTCAGAAGTGCGAGACATTTTTCAAGGAGTCAGTCCGCTTAGGGAATTCGACCACTAAAATTGTCTTTTCCTTCCTTTTTTTTTGATGCATTTTTCGTTTGTTTAAAGCAAAGAGTCGATAGTCTAGTAGTTACCCAAACCTGCTCCGTATATTTTGCATATTGTCAAAGTGATCTTTCAGGTACTTCGTGATTGTTGTATTCATTCTAAATTTTGCGATCAAGATAGTTCATTCTTAGTGATTGTACAAGTAATACTAAGACTGGCACTATTTTGGTTTGAATTCACAGTTTCTCACATAATTGCACAGGAAAGGCTTAACGATCGCAAGCAAGTGAATAAATTACTAAATGAGATCACCTATTGCTGTAAAGACGGCCACTATATTAGGGGCAATGTCACACGAAATATATTTGCATAAAACTAACCACTTGCCATTCGCTTTACTGAAAAGAAAGATAAATAGGGTGCCGTACAGAAAATCATGAATTAAGAAATAGAAATTTTCATTTCCATTTAGCATAAAATCTTTGATCACTCCACAGCAACATTCTTTTCAAAGGCACGGTAACATTTCTTTCTTTGAGATGCAAATGTCTAGGCACAATCCTGTTTCTAAGGCTGAAAGCAAAGTACTGAGGTAACAGTTTCAGTTCCTGGATATCCCTCCTCATCTCTTCAACCAAATACACATATTTTGGCCACAAGTTGTGTTCAATGCTGTAACCAAATATAGCAGGAAATCTAGCACAAAATTTAGCTGATTCTTCATAGGAAAACCCAATACCCTGCAAAAATCTAACCTTTTCTTCCAATTTATCCACTCGGGTATTTAGAAGATGAGCATTTAAGGTTGTTGGCAAGTTCAGATTTCCAATGTCTAGTTCTTTAAGATAAATCAGTGTTGGTCTCAAACAGAAGGGGACATTGGATTCAAGAATTTGAGGGCATCTAAGAATTAAACCTCGAGTGTCTTCTGGGGTTGCAGCCAAATCAAATTTGAAGAATTCAAATACAGATTCAACATGGGCAGGACTAAATACAGGTAAAAATACTTGGTTACAAACAAGAGCTATTCTTGATATATCAGCTTCGGAAAATCCTTGGGAATTTAGGAGGTTCACAATTGATAAAATCTGGGAAAGGGATTCCGGGGATGGGTTTTTGTAGGTTTTGTTTCCTGGCTTGATAATGCCGAGGGATTTTAGATAACGGAGATTTTCACGATGAGAAGTGCGAAACCTTAGTAGGAAAGGAGGGTTTGGAGATGAAGAAAAAGGGATATTTGTGGCAGAAATGAAGAAGCAGATTTTTGTATTTGGGATAGAAGAGCAAAGAAACATAGCTTCTTTCCTTCTGTCTTTGGTTCTTTAGCCACATTTATCTACATTGTCTATTTGACATGTGGCTCCATATATACGTAAACGTTAGTTATGACAATACGAGTAGTACTTAACAGTTTTTTTATTATTAAAATGGTGAAATAATGCATTTTGACATATTGCTCAATAGTCCACTTATTTTTTACTTCTTAAAAGGAAAGGAACAAATATTTCGGAGAAAATGACATAGGGAGTAACAAATATGTTTTTTTTTTTTTTTATTCGCTAAAATAGAGAGTAAAGATAAATTTCACCTGTAATATCTAGTAGAAGGAAAGAAGAGTTTTAATAAAGTTTCTTTCAACTAATTAATCTATGTTTTATTATTCTTCCAAGGAATTCTCCTCGACCTTGTACCATTCTAATCCCCCAAAAGTAAAAATCTTGGGTTCTAATCGTATTCTAGGTTGCATTGCACCAATTTTGCCCTTATACATATACACTTGCACAGACGCCCCGGTGAATATAATAACATTGTCGCGAAATGAGGTTATTCGTGACAAGGTGGGTGTGACTCTTATTGAGGACAAGATGCGGGAAACGCGACTTAGGTGGTTTAGTCATGTGAGGAGGAGGAGCATAGACGCCCCGGTAAGGAGGTGTGAGAAGTTGACATTGGAGGGTCTACAGAGAGGTAGAGGTAAGCCAAAGAAAAGGTGGGGAGAGGTGATTAGGTAAGACATGACGCAGCTTCAACTGACCGAGGACATGACCCTTGATAGGAAGGTATGGAGGTCGAGGATTAAGGTAGTAGAGTAGGTAGTCTAGAGTGTTCATAACAGTAGTATTGGCACACAATCTCGCTTTCCGTGGGCAGTAGGTTTTTACGACTAACCGTTGTTTTCTTTCATTGTGGATTATCTTATTACCTTGTTATTTTTATTCTGCTTTTATGTCTTTTTGATACGGTCCCTTCTTGTCTATATTTTCATTAATGTGGTGCTTATGCTTTCCTGAACCGAGGGTCTATTGGAAACAACCTCTCTATCCTCACAAGTTAGGGATAAAGTTTGCGTACACACTACCCTCCCCAGACCCCACGGTGTGGTATAAGACTGGGTATGTTAGCTGTTGTTGATACACTTGCACATGCACACACATACATAAAATTGTATTGAGTGGGAATATTCTCAAATATGATAGAAAGCCAGAAAACAATGAACATTTTTACTAAAGACTCTTGTTAACCCAAGAGCAAATGTTCATGCCTAGGCTGTTCTATCAGCTGACCATTTCAGTATCTCAACAGCTTTTAAATGGTGGCAAAAGAAAAGCTTGTTTCCATTCTTCAAGCGTCTATTAAAGAAATTTAATTACAGAAGCAGCTGAAGCCATCAGACAATTTTGAAAACAAACAGGCTATCTTTACAACTGGTGCTGATCCAGTAATATTTGTCATTTTCATATGATCGCACATATGATCACAAGTGGAACAGTTTGGTTTCTCTGCCTGATATATTAACTGGAATACAAGAGATCTACAGGTTATGACAATGCCAAAGGAAACGCGAATAATAGGCTAGCTATGAAAGAAAATGAGAATGAAAAGGGACAGGAATTAAATAACAGAATGAGGTGTTTCATCATTCAGATCACACTTCTGTGCCCTCCAAAAGCCCAAATCTGCCAAAAGGAAGAAGGAATTTAAGATCTTGTTATAAACGCATACAGATCTAACAACAATCAGAACAGTAGAATACTTGGGAAACTGAACTGTGATGCAGTCATAGGAATCTATTGCGGGGAAAACAAAAGAGATGAGCATCATTTGATTGTAAATCATTTCTTTCAGGTAATTACTTGATATTCAAGGCTAAACATCACGAAGTCTAATTCAAAGGGCAAAGCTGAGGCCCTAAATTTCAAGGTACTGGTTTCTCAATGATAACAGGGTTATTATTTAAATAAGTTCTTCCTGCATGCACATAACTCTATAAATTAAATGGTTTTAATATATTAGATTTCTTCAATTCATTATATTTTGCTTGATGCTTGAAAAATATAATTTTGGTTTCTCGTTAATTAGAAAAAGAAAACCACTCCGAAGCTTACCTTCAGGTTTGTATCCCAACTTCCTGTACATAAGGCGCTCCCATCAGCTGACAGTCCCAGGCAACTTATTCGCCCTTCATGAGAGTTTTGAACTGCTCCCAAGTTTAGGACCACCTATTGAGTCAAAGAGTAAATGCAAGAATAAGGCTGATGCCAAAGAAGAAGAACAAAGACATCATAAACATAAACATGCACAAACAATCAAACTATAAGAAGTGAAAATGCTATCCCAAAAGGAAAATGATAATACATTTTAATGTTACTTATCAGAAGGTTGCACAGAATGCTATTGAAAAAGAAGAGATGTCTATGAGTATACTTGGACCAAGAATCATCTCAAAATGTTTGCAAACAATAATTTCCAGAATGATAAAGAGTTTTTTTTCTTCTTCGGAGAAATGAGTTAAAAACAAGATGCGACTTTCTTGTACCTTTGCTAATAGGGTGTCCCACACATAACAATCACCATTTGAGTACCCGACAAAGAGAAGACGGCCTGAGATAGAAAATGCCATGGAAGTCACATGAGGGATATCACCATCACCATGCGGCTGGTAGTACACTTGCAGCTGGTGTCCAGTCCTAATGTCAAATAATCTGCAGGTTCCATCATCTGAACCAGTTCCAAATCTATTACCATCAGGGAAGAACTTTACAGTATTAACATCTCCCTCATGACCATAAAATGTTCGTTGAGCTCGACTAGCAACTCGGGTGTCCCATAGTCGAGCAGTTGAGTCACAGGACCCAGACACAAACAGTCTGGGGTTTGATGAACTAATTGAGACACTGGATAAATGGAAAAGAAACAAGATTATTTCCCAAAATATATGCAGAAAAAATGTTTAACATAGTTCAAGGACAGAGATAAAATATTTGCATAGTAAGTTGATCACCAACTTACCTTTGTACATCTGCGGTGTGCCCGGATTGAAACTCACCTCCAAAGACAGAAGTTCTTAAGCCAGTAGTTATATCCCAAAGGACACATGTTTGATCACCAGAACTAGTTATTACGTGAGTATCCTCATCTGGAACATACTGACAGGAAGACACATACCCCTTATGCCCACTAAGCATTCTTGATACAGGATGGTTCCCATCCTTATCGATCGGTGAATTTAAGTTGAAGATAGAGCAGACACTGTCAAGGCCACCGCAGGCAACAGACTGCCCACTAGGAGAGAAGGCGCAGGTCATAACCCAAGCACATGGAAGCTTAATTGCATGGGTTTTCTGGCTTGTGAGAGCATTCCACACTATTAATCTGCCATCTTGGGATGCACTGACTATACGATTCTTTTCTGGAGTCCAATCCAGTGAATATACCTGCGGAATAGTTTTAAGATTTTGGTCATAAAACTTCATAATTAGTAAGCAATACTCGATTTATATTATGATATCCAACATACATCAACTAAGTTGTCGTGGATTATGATGTTTCCTTATGGTCATATAACATACTCTTAAGTATGAAAATTCCTTATTTACTTGCTTTAGCCTCTCCATCAATACATTATTCAGATACATCAACAAAGTTCTTAGAGGATATTATACACACCTAAAGAAACAAAAGTCAGAAGCGAGTATGATCATGTAACATTTTTTCAATTTATTTAATGATTACTGGTACTTAAGGTGCTTTTGTTTTGTTAGTTCACGATAAGTATGATGTTTCTTAATTAACTTTGGCCTCTGTATGGGTGAAGTCTCCAATTGATCTTACATTCATGGTCTAATAGTTATTACTATAGCCGCCCTTAGAAAAGCAAACTCGTTTCACTAACAGCTTCCAACTAATTAGCTTGACTTCACAATCATCTTTGCTCAATCTCCAAGTTTCTGAGTGGAATATAACTAACTAGTTGACCAAGTATTAATCCAAATTCAGCAGACACAACATCGGAGAATCAAGTAGTTTAACATCGTGGTCAGCACTTCTTAAACTCATGCACAGTTCAAAAATTGTTTGCCAGCTTCCTACATGTTGTGGGTATAAGCTTGCAGTAAGACTTTTAAAATACTTGCTTTGATATACCACTAACTGTAAAAATCTAACAACCATTAGCCCAGAAGAGTAAAATCCACCAAAGCTTAAAATCTTTTATCCTATTCTTAAATATCATAGTACTAACTAATACTCCCTTTCTCCCTTTTTTACATGACTGTGTTTGACAGAATGAGAAGCTCAAGATGTAAATCTAGCTTATTTATCACATTACTGGTAGGAGAACAAAATACTACAGTAATAGTTAGAAAGTTGGTTTCATAAGATATATCACATCAAAAGACAAAATTTGTCAAGTTAAATGAATTCCGATTTAAGTTGTCAAATTTATGGATCAAACACTTTGTATGTCCCGGATGAAAAGAGTGTTAGAAAAATTGGGAAATATAAAGCATGAATTTATTTGTATTCTTTTTGGGATAGGCAACAAATGTGCAAATACAGACAACTATTGGAACAAAATGAGGAAAATAAAGTGCAAATACAGACAACACTTGGAATAAAATTCACAAATTGAAGAAAGTATCTACCTTTCCAGTGTGTCCTTGCAGGATCCTACAACAAACCAGATCTGTTGGGCCAAAGATGACCGGAGTTTTACCTTGCGACCTTGCATACCCAGATACTGCCAAATTTTTTTTTAAAAAATAAAAATGAAAAATCAGATCTCTAAACAAAAGTAACTTAAAACTCCGAAATCAACAATAAATGAGGAATGGAAGCAAGAAATAACCATCAGTGTCGAGTAATTGGAGACGCTTCTGCTTAAGTTTTTCACGGAGATCATTTACAGTTTGTGTAGCGGCCATATGCCGCTCTTTCAGCTCTTTCACTGACATTTTCAAGGAAATTCAAACATAATTCTTCTGAAAATCTCAATATCGTGGAAAAAGGGTTGATTAAATTAGGGTTTTTTTCTGAAGAGGAAAGGAGAAAAGGAGAGAACGAGTCAGGCTGAGTCAGTGGCGAGTCAGGGAAGTTGGTGGTGGGCGCGTGGTGGTAGATGGGTTTCAGCCTTTTACAGATTGCTGTTTGACAGATAGCCGCCGGGTCCACGCTGTATGACGTGGCGGCGTGACATGTTTGTTGTTCAAATGGGGTCCACAACGACTTCGTTGACAGCGACTCCAAGTCCTTTTTGGGCTTCCGGCCCAATAGAAAGTCTCTTCGTTAAGTCGTTGACCCATTAGGATTAGTTAACTACCAAATCATAAACAAAGCAATTCTTTCTTATACGTAATATAAAAATATGTTTTGGGATTAGTATACTCCATTCGTTTTAGTTTAGGGAAAAAAAACATAGCCAGGCCCACACTATAGTTTACTTTCAGTTAGCCATAACATAATTTAGCCATAAATTGTCTAGCCCAGAGTTTAAAAAATAGTAAGAGAAAATATCCCTCAATAAATAGTGGCGACAATCACGGAATCAGGGATTTTCTTTAAATCTTTCATCTCCGAAGATCACCCCAAAAATGTGAATTTTTCGGAATATGAACGTCAAACAGATTAAGTTTTAGTGCGAATTCGGACATAAGATTTTTAAAAATTATAAAATAAAATTTACATATTTAAAAATTACATAAAAAAATACTATAAATCATAATAATTAATAATTTAAAATAACTAAAAAGTACTTATAAAAAATATGATCAATGAAAACTTTAAATAAATCCCCAAATAGTAATTCTGTCACGACAAATAAAACAGACAGTATATTATATGAAGAATCCAAAAGAAGGACACGTTTTTAGCTAAAGCTCTGATTTTAAATGGGAAAGAAAGAAAGATTCAAAAGAGGAACACAATTCTAACTTAAGAAGGCCCCAGTTTCAAACAATTAACCTAATTAGGGAAGGAAAAGTAAAAGAGAAGACAAACATATATTAGTAAAATGCAAAAGAAGCTGTGGATTTTCTGGTGGAACACTAGCACCTTAGCATAGGGGCGTACATATAATTTTTTGTAAGCGGTGTCGATATTTATATAAGAGCAAAAAATAAATAATATTAATTATTATCTTACTTAACAAGAGATAGCCTTAGTCCATTAGTTGTATAGAGTCTTAAGTTAGAAGAGATCGTGAGTTTAATTCTGCCTTACCATATATTTTAGCAATAGAAACTCTCTCGGATATTTTAAAAAAATATGATCTAGTTGTGGTTTGAACATCTGAACTCTTAGAAAAATATCAAGAGCTTGACCAGTGTGCCAAGCAATAATATATGTCAAGTAGTATCTTTTTTTTCTTATTACCGTACTGAATTACTACATATATTTTGTAAAATTTTCCGACGAAACGATGTCGCGTGACACCGCTTAGTTCCATATGTATCCGCCCCTAAACTTTAGCAGTCCTCTTTCTACTCCTCCTCATTTTCTTCAAAAGAAATTTTCCGCTACTTATTATCACTGCAAATAAGATAATACTATTAAGCAATACGGAAATTCACATAGAACAGGTGAAATTCACTCATCAGCTGTTACATTGTTTTTAACATAACTGCTGTAAGTTATAGCAACTAATGACTTTGTGCCTTTGTCCTTGTTCTTTTTCTTGTTGTCGTTTGGTAGGGTGTATAAAAATAGTGACGAATAAGGTGTATTAGTAATGAAGGGATTAGTAATATATGGATTAGTAATACAAGCATTAGTTATACAAAGATTATTTCTTATCCATTGTTTGGTGTGGTGTATTAAAAATTAAAATGCATTGCATAATTTTTAAGAAAATTAGTTGTTTACAAAAGTGCCATCCATATTCTTTAGCTTTAAAGGATTTTAAGGATAATTTTTTCTTTAGTCATGCTAATGCATGCATTAATAGCCTTGGTATGCTAATACTATAATTTGCTATGTATTAGTTATACATAGGATAATACCAAATATGTTGTATAACTAATACTTTCATTAGTAATATATATGTTAAAAAAGTATACCAAACAAGGGATTAGTAATACCAAAAGTTAATGCATGGATTATTTTCTCTAATGCATCCTACCAAACGGCGTATTACTCCCTTCGTTCAATTTTTCAGCTATCATTTTAGTTCTTTTCACGTTCATTAAGAAAAATAATAAATACAAGGTATAGTTTATTAAGTTATACGTATTAAATAGTTTTTGGAAATTCAGTAGTATTAAAAAAACTGCCAGTCCTTTGATATCAAGAGTATAGTTGAAAATAATTAACAAGTTTAATCTTGAAATAAATTTTTTGAGCCAAAGCGCCGGTAAAATGGGACGGAGGGAGTATTTCTTAGACAAATGAGCTACGTGTCACAATAGTTGAATGTTGCGCCTCATGTATGTAAGATTTTGAATTAATTGAGAAATGGGCCATTCGGTCGAATTGGGCTGTTCAAGGCAAGGCCAATAGCCTGATGTCAGTTTCTACTTTCTACGGCATAAGTTTTAGATCTATCAACGAATATTAAACATTTCATACAAAAAGAATTTTTTTCTTTTGTTTGAATCTCAAATAAAGATATAGGTAAAATTTAGAAGTGTGGGTTTCGTGTGGTCTAAGATATACAAAATTAGGCCCCTTAATTATTCAATTTAACAAGAAAGCCTAATTTTCAAAAGTAGCAAGAGTTTTTTAATCAAATATATACTAAGCGGTAAAAGCATACAACTTACATGCAAATAACATATAATTATATTGTTGTATACAATCCGATAAAAACATACAACATAGACAACTTGCACACAATTGTGTTATTGTATGTATTTTGTATGTCGTGTGTGTATCACTATTTATCCAGTGATACATTGAGAAAACATAAAATATACACCCAATATATCCCCAACATATATCCGATATAAAACTATTTCACCACCCGACTACCACCAGAAAAACCACCATATTCATCACGAAAACTACCATAACCATCATTTGTTCAGCCATAACAATGCAAAATATGATCTAAAATATGTAATTAATCAAGTACTTCTCTACTTATTTATACGAGAGTTTAGCTTTATACAGAGATAAATAGAGTTCGATACAAATCTCGTTAATCGATATTCTTTAGAACACAAAAAGATCTATCTAGAAATTCAACTTCACTGATTCATGTAACCTAAATGCCCACTTTTTTCGCGTCGTTAATAACATAAGAGCATAAAGAGGAATTTGGAATGATGGAGTTATTTATTTGGTATAGATAGAGATGGATGTCTTTACATGACGAGATGCGTAAGGAGGAGATAGCTACCTAAAAAACCCTTAAGGTTCTATATTAGGTAATTAAGTGCCGATGTCCATAATAATGGTAAATAGGCTTTCATATTCGCATATATAGGTAAATATCTCATAATTGAATAATTTTAAAAGCCCATAATAATTTTAAAATAAGAAAATAATCAATCTGGAACAAAAAAGGAAGTGTCTTGTGAGAGTTTTGACTGATCATACATGGAAAAAGGACTAGTTAAAGTAAGTGAATAAGAAATCACTATAGAAAATAAATAATGTTGAATATCATTTGTGAACCTTGAAGACCTTTCCATAATTGAAAAATTCTGGAATAATGGACAATAATCTTTCATACGCATCAACAGTGGAAGTGGGGGCCATAGGGGAGCAGCCAAACCTGTCGACTTTATACCAGATACTTTTTTCTCTAACAAGGATTAAGATTTGACTTCCTTAGATATACAAAATGAATATCAAATGTCTCCTCTAAGGGCTCCTGCTATTATCATAGCCAAAACATAAGATAAAAAAAAAAATGCAAAATGAACTAGAGATTGCAATATAGAAAAGCTACATATATAATTCTTCAAACTTGTTTCTATATTGGTTAGAGGGAACCGCGTGAACCAAAAAGAATTTTTTTGACCTCTTCATCAATTTTAGTCAAAAGGGAATTATTTGACTTCTTCATCAATAGTTGTGCATAACAAATTTTGCATCGATCGAAATTCCAATGCTATAAACAATATATGAAATAGAAATGAGTCGTTAAAACCTACTAAAATATTTAAGAATGAAAAATAGAAGAAAAAAAAGCTTGATTCTTGAATAAACTCTTCATCCTTCAAAACTCTTCATCTTTTTATTGGTGGCTTGGTAACTACCAATGATGAAATTTTCAAATTGTTCAACCAAGTTCTTAATCTAATGGATGACACTTAGGTTAGCATAAGAAAATTGAGAATGTTATTGAATTTTAGAATCTTTTATGTTTTATAAAAAGAGAGAGAAATATAATAAAGGTTATAAGAGAAGATTGAAGACCTTTGCACAAATGAGGTTGTTAGGCTCGAAATGATATCAAATTACTCATCTCGAGACGAGTTTTTTTGCCTACTAATCAATAATTTTTTATAGAAAAAAAGTGAGCCAAAAATTCCAGTTTAAATATGACTGCACAATTTAGTGCAGGTCATGATGATGCGGCAACATTGGAAAAGATGGTGTTGATCTAATGATTGGGTACAGTTACACAAAATACGATATATTATACGCTAAATACATACTCTAATGGAGTTGCATCTTCGAGCATATTATACCTATTCTTTTTAAAATCAAAATTTATTTTGCTATTATGTTTAAGACCAAGATTTATGTGGCAGCGCCGATCTAAGGCTGAGTATAATACATAAAATCTTGATAAAATTAGTGTCTTAACATAACTTTAGTATTAGTGGTTTGAAATTATACAATTAGATTCGTATATATGTTTATTTAAACTTGTTTTTAATGATGATGTTCAAGCCAACTTGCACGTATCTTTACCATTCACAAAAAAATTATGTAACGTTTTACGAATATTCAAGTTTTACATAATATTTTTTAAAATTCTCATCCCATAGTAGTTTGAATTTTTACATATAAATATAATGTCAAAAATAATTTCATACGTTTTAAATAGTTCAAACATATTTCTATGTAAAACTTCTCTCTCTCTCTCACACACACACACATATGTATGTATATATTTCTAAATTTCATCATGTAATGATCTCAATTTTTTACTATTAAATAAAATGTCAA